CTGTTATGTCCAGTGTTTTCTAATGAAAAAGGTAATTGCGCATTTAATTTTAAAAAATTACGGATTTGTGTGAATGATGCTCAACAAGAACTGTTTTTGAAAATTGTGTTATTAGAAGGAGGAAGTAGGTGGAAAATATATTTTTATTCTTTATTCTCAAAATAACTATTGTAAAGATTTACAATTATTGACATTGATCTTGAATTTTAGGATCGTGCCCATCGTATTGGTCAGAAGAAACAGGTACACGTGTTCCGTTTTATCACAGAGAACACTGTAGAGGAACGTATTGTGGAGAGAGCAGAGATGAAACTTAGACTAGATAATATTGTCATACAGCAGGGTAAGACTCATTACTGTGTCATGCAATTAATGTTTAGTAATTCATCTGAATGTATCGATGTCCTTGCAAATAGTTAACAGAGTTTTCGGTTCAAAGCCCTGATCATCATCATTCACAGGCATTTGGGGTTCGGGGTTGATTCACTTTTCAGGAATGTTCTTTACCAATTTCAAAATGTACATGTTATTACATATAAAAATCTGTTAAAGCTTTTATGTAGTTTAACCCAATGTGTCAGGAGCAGCTTATGCCTTGCATATACTGCCTGGAAACTCTCTCCTTATTCCTGATTAAGGAATCAGTAGGGTAAAACTAACCTGTCTCACGACGGTCTAAACCCAGCTCACGTTCCCTGTTGGTGGGTGAACAACCGAGTTTTCGGTTCAAAGCCCTGATCATCATCATTCACAGGCATTTGGGGTTCGGGGTTGATTCACTTTTCAGGAATGTTCTTTACCAATTTCAAAATGTACATGTTATTACATATAAAAATCTGTTAAAGCTTTTATGTAGTTTAACCCAATGTGTCAGGAGCAGCTTATGCCTTGCATATACTGCCTGGAAACTCTCTCCTTATTCCTGATTTCCATACACACCTGTATTACATGAAAACTATACATGTGTGTACCAATTATTTTCTCTGCATGTGCCACCAACAATAGGGAAGAAAAAGACTAACAGGAGTGTGCCCTAAATGATTGCAACAGAAGCAGTTTTGAAGCCTCATGTTCAAGAATGACATTTTGGAGAACACAGCTTGAGTTTATATGAACTTAAATAAATTAAATGCATTACACGTTCTCACTGTTTACTAAATATGTTGTGTGTGTATTTCTTAGGTCGATTAGTAGACTCAAATGTAAAAGTTGGTAAAGATGAGATACTGAATATGATACGACATGGTGCTGACTATGTGTTTGCATCCAAGGATAGTACCATTAATGATGAAGATATTGACAATATATTGCAGTCTTCAGAAAAAAAAGTGAGTAATTTTCTTGACTTTTCCTACAAGTGTTTTCTTGAATTTAAGTTACTTAGAGGCGTCATAGTTTTAGGTATGCTCAATCTCGTGCATGCTCCTACCAGAATTGTGGAAAATAGTTTCTTCTGAAAAGTGTATTACTGTATCAGGCTTAATTATTTGTTGTCTTTTTTATTATCTCTTATTTCCCTGATAGCTAAATAGTAAATACACTTACATGTGATTAAAACCCAGCGAACATTCAAAGTTAACAATAATGAAATAAATTAAATTTAAAACCTTTCAATATGAAATCTGCTCAAGTATATTTGAGCCTAATTGTTAATTATATGTAAATTGTAAAGTTTTGTGAATGAGTGTGTATTACCGTATTTATCCGGGTAAGAACCCATGGTCCTGAACATAGAAAATACAGGACTAAAATGATTCAGATAAAAAATCTTGAAAAATACATGTAAATTACGTAAACAGCAGGCGAGTACGCTGCCTCTGAATGCAGAACGCGAAATTACCTAT